GTGAAAAAGCCTGACAGACGACTGAAAACTTGCATCTGCAGAGAAGACAGAGGAAGGCACATGTCAGAGCAGAACCATCATGCTTTGTATTCCCTTTTGCCTCCAGGTATGTGAGGCCTCCAGCGATGACGGCTCTCCTGCTATGGAAGCAGAAGCATTAGTTTCCCAAGCAGTGTCAGTTACAGAGCTCCCCAGTTAGTCCCCGATTCCAGTTTTTTATATATCACTTTGCAAGGTTTTCCTAATACTGTATATATTAATAGAACAAGCTCACACAGATAATTTCAAGAACTTTAAAATTTTTTAACTCGTTACATGTCAGCACTATGTTCCCTTTGTGACCTAAAAAAATATGTTTAGCATTTCCATTGAAAAAAATGTTGAAACTGTATTTAAAATACCTAATTATTTTCCCTTTTATAGAGTAATATGAACCATTTATCAACAGCCATCTATTTATGAAGACTGAAGGGTGTTAACACTGAGGAAACTCCATTATTAGAGAGCACTTCCCAGACACAAACATATCAGAAAAATACACAAGTGAGTTTCTACAGGACACATTATGTTGGCAAATTACTGAAATTAAACGGCCAAAGAGGACATGACACATTCATTTTCTTGGTAAAAGCAGGCTTTAAAAAGGTAATGAGTAGCTGCAGTTTATTAAAAAAAATTGTATTAGCCAAACTGAATGTAATTTCAGTACATTCCAAAGCATGTCAGAATGGTTACACAACAGTTACCAGCATCACAGCAGCCTTTCTGCCAGCTTTTTTCACTTCTAATGGAAAGAGAAAAAAACTTACCCCTTAGAGCAAACACTGTAGGCATTTTAAAGTTCCTGACACACATGTAGCTACATGAGTTGTCTCCTTCCCTGCACTGTGCTCAAATGGTTGTCAAAGTGACACGTTCCTCCTTGTCAAGGTGCTCATGTCGATAAGTACATACTTAATTTCAAGAATCCTCTTCCCCACTGTCTTTGGTGCTTTTTTTTTTTTTATTCTGCCTCATTTGGTATACGCAAAGTTAGACCATGGGTAAGAGTCTCTGAAAATGCTGCCTGCGTTTGTATTTTTCAACAGGTTTAGGCTGATACCTGGAGAGACTGTAAAACACACCAGTGGTCTGTATGGACATCAAAGGTGTCACACCCGTTTTGAATGGTACCGAATAGAACTGATACCAGCTAGGAGCTGGGAATCAAGGCAAGTGTGCATACCGGTGCTTCTTCCCACACAATGTGCCTGAATGGTTAAATGTTACATACATAAACTCAGGATTCCATTTCAGGGATCAACGTCATCAGTGAGTACATGCAAATCTACTGATTTTCTTTTCTGGAGGCACCCTAAAACCAAGAATCAGGAACACCATTTTATAAGCCTGTTGCTTCTAGAAATACAGTTTAGGCAAAGACATGAATCGCCTATGCAGAACAGAGTCCAATCCTTTTGTTCTGGACTTGCCTTAGTGCCCAGCTTAATGCTGTGCAATAGGAGCAAGACTCAGAATGTCAGCTAACAGCTAAACTATCATCCCGTTTGATTTCATAATTTTGGCAGACACAAGTCACATTCTGTCCCTACACTTTGAAAACAAGAGAAGAGTGATACAGTATCTCATCCAGATCAAGCTGCCACAGGCAATGTGTACTGCAGCCAACTCATTAGCAGCTTGAATAATAATAAAAAAAAATCTATAACTGCAGTATTAAGCTGCTGTATGATGGTATTTACACCCATTGAAAGGCTGCCTTGATTTAAATAGAAGATGGAGATGGCTTTCTTTCTCCTATTGAAAAAGATGAAAGAATAACTGGCTTTTTAATTGAATTAGTTTCCAAGTATCAGGGTAAAAAAAGGGTATATTGGGCTTAAAACATTTTGTGATTTTATCTTTAAAAATACCTTTTGAAAGATGAAGATAGAAATTTTCCAAATGAAACCCTCCATAAATGCTAACATTTGAACACTTCTGCTCTATTTTATTAATTTGTTGCAATTAAGAACATTAATCACCAACTTTATCTGCATTTTTGGGCAATTTCTACCTTCCATTTTCAACAGTGCTTCTTTCCCGCCCTCAAATTTTGTTCAGTCTGCCAAACTGTCTGGAGAGGCTGGAGTACTGAAGGTAAAGAGCAAATTATCTCTAGCCCATCAAAAAGCGTGAAAATACAGTTTTATCCAATTCGTTAAAATAAGATTTGCTTTTAAAACATGGATGCCACCAGTTCTTGATCAAGTAGAGATCTTACCTTCTTCGGCCCCTTTTGGAGATATGTATTACATCTTCTAAAACAAAACTAGACAAATGCTTTATTTACATTTTTCTACCACCTCTCTTTCCTTACAGGTGAGGGAACGCTGCCGTTATATGCTGTTCTCAAATCTCTTACCAACCACCATTTAGTAAAAAAAATTTGGTGTGTGACCTCTTCTCCTTGGGTATCACTGAAAGGGTAAATAGTTTGAAAGCGACCACTGCTAGCTCTGAATTACACCAACAAAAATCTTAAGAGCACAGCAAGAACTTGTACAATAATGCAGAGACAGCCCTCATTTACATCACGCATATTGACTATATTTGTAGCTGAAGGCATGTATCCAGCTGAATGACCATCACAGATGCAACAAGCAGAAAGAAGAACATTAGCTTACATACTTGCTTTGAACTTGCTGCTAAATTCAGAAGAGCCAAGAAAAGCATGTAATCCGATATCGAGTCTTATGAATTCTGCATGAATCTGTTAAACACACCATGCATCTCGAGTATTAGAGACAGGACCCAGAACTAGATCAACTCATGTGTGCCCCAAAGCAAATCTGCCAAAAGGAACGAACGTAGCTGGAACCTTGCTGAAGAATGCAGTACTCACACTAATGCTAAATCTAAAAGCTCTGTTCTAACACAACCAAAGGTTGTCTGGTCGTAAGGCAGTCTGTGAAACAACACAGGCAGACAACAGCAATGGTTTCCAGCAGGCCTCATACCTCATAGTTTCCTGCTTGGTCTATTGTCAGCTATTGCACATCAAGGCTTGCCTGTTAAGATGCACGGGTAAGAAGCCAAGTAATTCTTCACTGGGTGGGAACATTACACAAAATCTCTCTTTCTTCAGAAAGATTTACTTTCTTGAAATCAGCTCTCCTCTTTAAAAATGGAAAAAAAAAAGTCAGGAAAACAACTTACAAAAAAGTAATTAAGTTTGTATCAGGAAGAACAGTGTGCAAGAATTGTTCACATTTCAGAAAATTAGAAACTTACTTGCTACAGCAATTCAGTATTTTGCAGTTTTCAGTAGTACATCCTGCTAAAGCCACCTATTGATCACTCATTTGAGCTAAAAATTAAGTATTACTTCTTTTGAAAGGCAAAGCAAGTATACATGAAGAATCAAAACATGTTCATTCTAACTGATGGGAAGAGAACCAAAAAAGAACAGCCCAAAGCAAATGGCTTTTCCACCGCCAAACAGCTGCTGTAAGTTGACAGCATTCTTTCTCACCCTGTTTAAAGTTACACATCTGAGACTCCGGCATAGACTAGGACTGTACAATTCTGGGCAATGAAAGCAAGAGTATTTGACACAAGTTAATATTCTAGCACAGTATCTAGTACTGTTCTGAGAATTCACTATCTTCCCTGTCGCAGAATATACAAAGGTGCGTCTTCCCTAAAATTTTATTCCTAGAAAAACATTATTGTCCAATGTCACCTATACAGCTGCAAGTGTCGGTCTCCAACGTGCACTCACCTACCGCTTCAAGGCAACTGAGAATTGTTTGCTTCAGCTGGATTTAACACCCTTGAAAAGGTTGATTTTATGTATTAAAAGTTGGAATAAAAACTTGACTGGACAAGTGCCTGCACAATCTAGTCCAAAATTAATGTTGTCCTTGCTTAAAGCAGGAATTTGGACTAGATGACATGCCAAAATCCTTTCCAATTTTGATGATTCTCTGCTATGCCTCTCCATACTCAAAGAAACTTGATAAATATAAACCAGGAATTAAATATTTTACCCACTTTCTTGCATGTAGTTTAATTCAACATGTTCTTGCACCTAGGAAAGTTGAGGAACTTGAAAAAAGCCACTCTGAAGTCTATACAATAAAACATAACACACAAATTCGGATTCTTCTATGTGTCTCTTCAGTGAATTACTTCAAAATATTTACAGTGAATTCTCATTTTATTTCATTGCTTCCATTCTGTACACTAAATTTGCATTTAACAATATTTCAAAATCAATCCAGTTCTCAAGTTCACCATACTTTCCATTTCAATGCTTACACGTTTAAAATACATGAAAGTTAAATTCATAACAGCAAAGCAGACCTGCAAATGATTTAAAGTCAGAACTTCATTGCAACAATTTTTCATTATTTTGCTATGACTACTTTACATAAGTCATAACTACTATACAGTGATTAATGATTAAAATGCACATCAATTTACAGTATTCAAAGACAGACTTGCCATAACGAAGTGTGAAAAAGCTAGCAGCCTCTCATACAATTTAAAAGTGACTCTCCACATGCTTATTTTACTTGCTAAAAATCATCCCTCCCCCTAACTTTCATGATATTTACTGATGAAACCAAGGACTTATTTAGAATGATCAAAACTCCTTTACAGGCTGAAAGTTGTGATTTACTAGGGGAAGAGAGCAAAAATGGTACATTTCAGTAGTTCGCCTGCACATAAACAGACTCAATTCTGTGCCACAAAACATCTAATCCAGTAGAGACTTTAAATGCAGGACATCAGTGCTTAGTAAGTAGATAATTGCATACATACCTGTCTGACTTCACAAGAGAAACTCTAGAAGTAGCCAATGAAGTTTTTATGCTTTCTATACATTTTGAACACTGATACTACACACATTTGTAAGATTATTCTACTCCTATAAGAAGTAGCAGAGTTAAACTAGACCCTGAAGTTATGAGTGGAAAGGTGACTAAAAATGGAACTTACACATGCACACATCAGTTTCTCATTTGCTTTATTCACACACTTTAGTTACTGTAAGCCTTGCTAACAAACTGCAAGACAGCCAAATCTGCATTCTGTCCAACTTTGCCCAAACCCAAGTTGCTGTTATTTTGTACAAAGCAATTATTTCTCATCATTCTCCTCTGCCACACTGCAGCAAATTAAGATGTCTTCTGTATACCTGTAAATTATGACATTTATGTCTACTTAAGTTACTTTTACAGTTTTTATTTTGCTCAAAGCTCCATTAACAGTGAAGTTGAAAACATGTTTAAAAGACCAATAAATCCACCAGTCTCCGACTTGTAAGTTCTTACAACTTATGAAAATAAACTCCTTTGAGCTGGCTAGCAGTCCAAATTCAGTATCAGATGTAATGTTTATAAAGCAGAGATTAAGAATTCATATCCATTCCTTAAGCCAGTTAACTGGTCAGAGGAAGGGTAAATCCTCACTCCAACCACATTTGAAATCTGATACCCTTCTTTATGACTGCACATTATATATTTGTGTCTGTAACTTCAAACAGTACTTTTTTTAATTACACTTAGGTATCTATATCCCCATTTTTAAAACAAGTTTTTACAGTGTAAGGAGAATCCATAGAGTGGATTCTTCAAATTTCATTTTCTAAGCCATTTTAAACAATAATTAGGCTAGTAAGTCAATCATGTCCACTGTGCTAAATCCACACCTGAACAGATTAAGAAACATTTTGAAGCAGTGTTGAGTACATAATTTTGGTAAGCTGTAAAACTGCCACATGCAAGGTATACTGTACTATAACAGCTCCAAACCCTTTATAAAAACCTAGCATTCCTTCTTCCCGTTTTATAGTATTTATACAGTCTCTCATTCCCTCATACTGAGTATTGATAGGAAGCACTTCATAGCCAAGGTCTGTATTGTCAATTATGGTGCGTGTCCCTTGAATATGAAGGCGGTGTAAAACTGTCTCCAGTGGGTAAAGCATGACATCAGCACAAAGGCTAGCAGCAAAGCTAGCAATAAGTTCTGGAAAATATGCATCCAGCATGCTCTGCACAGAAGTGGAGCTCTCGGTTGGACGGTTGTGGGAATTATCCCTTTTCAGAACAAACAAAACAAGCTTCTGGACGATGGAACTGATGACATAGTGAAGAACTCCATGAAGAGCAGTTGGAAAAGTCAAGACCATCAGGGGAAGGAGACGCTTGCTATGGGGTACTCCCATGCCTACAACTCTGCCGATTCCTTCTTTCACACAGTCCAGGATGCCAGGATTATCTCGAATGATTTCGCTCTACAAGTATAACGGAATAGTTACAACTTGTGCTGTCCATTTCACAACCACATCCATCCACTGACACTTTACATTGCTGAACTTTATAAGAGAGTTAAACATCTGCATGCTATTGTATCTACACAACTACATAGTTAATTCTTTGCTCTAACAGTCTTGATAGCAAATGTGCTTGAATGCCTTTAAAAAATGAACCCATCTCAAAGTCTTCATTTCACATATATTCCAGTTATTTGTATTACTGCCAAAGAAATTAGACTTGCAACCTACTAATGAAAGTATCAGTCTGCAAAACAGTCATGTACCAAAATACCTACTTTTGGAGCAAACTGACAGGAAGTATTTATCTAACCTAAAAGTCCTTTTCTTTGTGGACTACAACTACAGTCTTTGAATTTGAGTGTGCATAATAAAGACTTCCATGACTAAAGTTGAGTTTAAAGATCATTTTTAATTTGAATTTAATAGGTTCAGCTCTGGACATTTGCATTGCATTACTTGCAGCTAAAATTGCACTCATTACCCATGCTGCCTCTTAGAAAAGGGATAATTATTTTGATCATGTAGTGAAAAGAAATAACTCAGTAATTATTTGTTCCATTATACTCCACCTATGACTGTAGGATTGAAGTACAGACATTGTTTCCCCTTTTGATGCTTATACAAACTCAATATTTATCATCTCTGCTACATTCAAAATTCGGGATTTGGGAGTTCTCTATGCCCAAGTCTGAGTCCATGCTGGCTGTGTTCTGACCTCATGCCAGGATAAACCACCAGAACATTCCTCAGTGCTCTGGGGAAGGACTAAGCCTGCAAAGCCTTCATAGTCAGTCTGTGCAGAAACTAGTTCAAATACTGGAGAATATAATGTTGTTCCAGACTTTAAGCACAAGTTAAGCATTATAACTCTTATTGAATCCTCTTGTCCCCTATACCATTATAGCCACTGCACTTCAAAACTGTGCTTGCTTTTGTCAAACACGCCACCATGTGGTTTGAAATATTAAAGACAAAAACATCAATGTGACAGCTACAGATTTCTACCATTTACAGTTATTTTAATCAAATCTATTTATTCGGAAAAGTGTGTCAAACTAATACTGCTGAACGGTATGGTTTACCAGAATTAAGACAATCAAAGTTAATATTAAACTCGTAGTAACAAATCACACAATCTTTAACTTGCATAGTTTGTTACTGATCATTGTCCTTTTGCAGGACAGGAATATAATGTAAACCTGATAAGACAAGTTGCCCCCTGCAGTGACTGATACAGTGTAAATAAAATCTCCACAAATGCTACCATTACCTCTGTTGTGTTTCTAATAAGAAAGCTCATGATGGTATTTCCAGGAACTGGAGAATACATTTTCTCAGTGGAATTATTTTCATAAGCAACGCTTTACAGAGATGATCACATGTCTAAAAGGCTGGGGGAGATGCCGTTTTGGCTTTTTGGCTGTTTTCTTATTACACTGCTTTCTAGCAAGAAAACTTTACTACTTATACCATCAAGAAGAGCTCACGCTCTAAATCATGATATCTTTTATCAGTAAGTATGTTCAGGTCCAGCAACACAGCTGACATCCTTTCAGACAAAAATACAAGCAGTAAGACACCTGAATAAAACATTCAATTCTGTGACCTGCTATGAACTCAGGAAACGTGAACAGTGTTCTACCACTGCTTCTAGTTCCAGGATTACAGCATGCTCAGGTTGAAGACAATCCCCAGAACATAAAAGACTTTCCTAAGTCAACTTTTTAGTACAGTATCAGTTAAATCTTCCCATGGCTTCCACAAATGCAGAGATCCACTCAGGCTGGATTTCTGGAATACTACTTTCAAAATAATTCAACAGAAGAGAGGAACAGGGTTTCTTAAATACAGAGTAACTTTAGAGAACAGGAGTTTGTTGTTGGGAGTCTATCTACACGCCCCCATGCATAGACATTTAATCTCACCTGTCCTGTTAGTCCATAGTGTGGCTAGTTCAGACAACACAGCCTTCCTAGTACCTTCTGGCTCCTTTACGTTTGGATCCTCTGCACAGAGCAGAACCCTGTCCCTTAAGAGTACCTGCCTCTAAAGTACATTCTGAAACTAAGAAACTGTAGAAGTCAGCCTTGTTTGCCTCTTCTCCACGGAAAAAGCATCATTTTGTAGACATACACCAGCAGTTGGACTGTAGGCTTAAACAGCTGAATCTAAATCAGTCTTTCCAGTACTTATAACTTGTCTATGCTATGAACGAAAATTATTATTTTGATGACTGAATGGCATGAGAGTGACTGTGCTGCACAACCCTCCACATGAGAGCTCACTTCACAGTAAGAGTTCCATTAGCTGCACAATGATACTATCATGTTAATTAAGAAGAACTCATATATAGACAGCTGGAAGAATTACCCTGGACCACGTCTACATAGCTAAATCCTATCTCCTTCTCTAGAAAGAGACGCAACAACTTACTGAAAGGCAATCTGCAATACAATGCCAAGTGCTACTCTGTATAATCACAGAACAAGTTAAGCTGTACCCTAAGTGACAGGTCCAGATATTTATTTTCATGGCTAAAGAACCACCAGATGAAAATCTGAAAGCAAGAAGCTGACTGAATGCAAGCAGTCCTGAAATAGTAGAGTTCAGTATTGTAGCAAAATAAAGCTGTACTGGAAAAGCTTTACAGTTGTTACAGGGGAAGTGGTCACTGCAACAACTTGCCTAGTAAGCCTTTTAAAACCTCAGTTAATAAGGCATACAGCCTCAAGCAAAACAAATCCAACTACTGCAACATAAACCTGAATCCAAAGCCAAAGATTCACCTTTCCACACATTCTAATCTATAAAGAGAATAACAATATACTTTTAGATGTTGTGAACCTACCTGTACAGTTTCAATCAGGCTCGCAGAATAAAAAGGCATTGCTATCACATGTGTTAAACTGTAGAAATTAACAAGGTAACAATTAAGGTCATGAAAATGCTGTAATTTTAGTCAAATATGCACATGAAAGTTGATAAAGTTATCTACCAAGACATGCCTGACAGAAGACTAACAAACCATACCTCCATTATTAAAATGCACATTAACTAGCAAAGATAAACTTCAGTCTGAAGTTCTGTTAAATTCTATTTCCACACAACCAGACTGATTCAGGTCTCTCAGCTACCGTAATTTAATTACTAAAAGAATCAAATCTTTAAATTAGTCAGGTTCCATAAAGACACAGGGATCTAGTAACAGAAAACAATCTGTGGAAGTGGTGTATGCAATCAAGATTGTTCAAAAAAATCAAAATCAGAAAATTATTATTAGCACCCTGTCAAGCAATCACAGCTGCAGATTAAACTATTGTACATTTAGTAGTTTTCTTAATGTTTAGATAATCAGACATCAGTTAATAACACATGCTATACTTACCCTTTGAGTAGAAGGTGTCCACCTATCTGCTTGAGGTTCCATTTATGTGAAAGCTCCCTAAAAAGAAAAGTATTTACCTTAACATGGATAATCACATGTCATTCTCATGCATTTCTTCCATGGGTGTCAACATCTAGTTTTCATACTGGTGTTCTACTACCTATTTACATCGCAAGCTTTCCCATAATGGAAAGACATCAGCTGCACAATCATTAAATCATGCTTAACTTTTCAAATTTATTTGGGCCTGTTAGACATTCTACCAAAAGAGCTTTCAATTATTATTAGTACGGTGTCTGTAGCTCTCACAGCTACTGACTTTAGTGTTCTGCATTTTGCACCCTTATATAACAACTCTTACAGCCATTTTCAGGGAGTATTGGATTATTTTAAAATCTCTATAGTTTTCTCCTTTATCGACACATATTTTTTATTATGTTTTGTTTTCGTTATGCTTTTCCTGTTAATTGTGGTTTACCCAGTTGTTGTTTCTTTCCTGAAAACCTCAATCACATTCTGACAGTTAGACAAGACCAAAACAAGTACAATAGGTAAGACTAGAAACGGCAAAGTAATTCTGCACAGACTTAACACAAGTCTTTTGGCTTATGACCAGTCTTCAGCGTATTGTAGTAGAAGCAAAAGAAAACCCATGAACTTAACACAAAGGTGACTTAAAAAACCCACATTAAAGTAGTATTTTCTAATTACACACTTCAAAATACGAACAGTAAACATTAACTATGCTTCACTTGAAAGAAAATATAATCCCACCTACCTCAAGATAAGATCCAAATACCATATGTATTTACGATAAATTTGGTAAATAGGTACGAGGTAAAGACATTTCTGTCTGAAATACTGGACATAGTAGACTATGCATTTTTAGTAACATGCTATAAAGTGTTCAGCTTCAATGCTTGTCCAGGAATTGCATTCACCCACTGCCTGTAGTTAAAACAACTCTAATCCAAGAAAGGAAACTCTTTACTCTTTTTCTGAAGAACTCTCACAGAATCACAGAAACACAGAATGTTAGGGGTTGGAGGGGACGTCTGTGGGTCATCTAGTCCAACCCCCCTGCCAAAGCAGGGTCACCTACAGTAGGTTGTAGAGGACCTTGTCCAGGCAGGTCTT